GCCACTTGCAGCTGTGACGGTCAGGGTTCTCACCGACCCTCTAATTACTGTTGTTTCATTGTATCTCCCGCGGCATATCCCTGTGCACATGAATAACTTTCAGAAACTCATTGCCGAACTCCCGTAACTTTTGTTTTATTTTCAGGAATTTTAGTGCTATACACACCATGTGGGGCAGTGAACGAGTTGATCCTCGAGGAGGACTCATGGAACGATATTTACTTTCATTAAACCTTTGTATTTTAAACACTAAGTGCCCACTTTTTTTAGCGAAGCACATAAGTCATTCACCTGTATAGATTTATCTATATCAACACCACCCGTCTTTCCGTGTTTTTCTTGGAAGGTTTTAGAGAACCCATTCGAAAGCAATCACTTCCGTGTTGTCATAGACTGCCTTGTTGATCTCCCTATCCAATTTTAGAACGGATGTTTTTGGAACGGATGCCTAGGTCGTTAATCCAGTACTTCGGCTCGTGCACAAGGAGAGCAGTAGGAGATCAGACCTCTGTAGAGAAGGAACTCAGCCTGAGAATTGCATGCACAAAATACGTGGAAGTATTTTTCCTACTATTATTGAAGTAACTACTCCAAATATGTTCTTGTGAAACAAGTTTTACTAAAAAAGCTTATAACAACAGCTTATAAGAAACCCTTACTAAAAAGCCTATAACAACAGCTTATAAGAAAAACACTAGAATACACCCGTCTCCAGATGACGCGAAATTGGCTTAATTATTTGTAAGCATCGCCACCGTACGTTGGATTTGGGTAATGTATGGTACTATCGATGCCCAAACTTACTAAATGTAGAGTATAATTTCTCCCATTTGAGAGTATCAATTAATTAGTATTAAGACCGCAAGTTGGGCTATGTGGTTGTACATAATTCCAGTAAAACGCCTAAAATATGGAGAGAATAAAATGTATTTTAACAGGACAGGGGGCTATTATTGTCGTCTCTTGCAACTTCACTAAATACAGTGTTATAGGTGAGGACAGGAAGCAATATGTTTGCTTCTGTGAATATAAATATTTAAATAATGAAAAAAATTAAATTCTTATTTTTCAGTCACAGCGACATTTTTATCCTCAGAGTTGAAAACTGCGAAGGCACACTGGGTGCATTTTCCAAGAGACGTAAGTAATTTGATTGGTCATAAAACGTTCCCTTTCTTGTGCGTCTGGACTTAAATCTATGCCGACCACTCTTTTTGGCGCTTTGTTATCTGCCTCGGCAGGTCCTAACAGGTGAAGTAATCAAACGTTTATTGTTTGCTAACAAGAAAAAGATATAAGTAAAAAAATTAATAAAAAACAAAAGACCGTTCTTGGTGCCGTGGATTATATTTATAGCAAAAAACGAGGTAAATTTAAGGATAGCATTTTTTGGTTATGTGTCATTGTAATTCGACACGGATTTTCGTGAGAAGTAAAATTTGTGTCGAGACTGATAATTTTACTGAATTTGGTTTATTTAACTCAAAGGCAGCTGATTATTCACTACATGAGTACGGCAGCAAAAGGAAGGAATAGTCAAAATAGTAACACATCCAAAAGTTAAAAAAAGAAGCGATAAGCTTATGTACAAATTCACCAACGGCACACTACTAAAGCCCAAAGTTCAAAATAGATTTACAGAGATTTTATAGATTAAGCAATACAACAACGAGCACAGTGCTAAAATAGAAATTCAATAGCCAAGCTCCACGAAATTTTGCTTACATGATATAAAATCGAGCTGAGTCACTAAGTGTGGAAGGATACTGTTTCAATCTTTTATACACATGATAGCGTAGAGAACATGAACAAGTTCGTGCGTGATTTAATTGGTTCAACTTGGCATTTATGATCAAGCCTGGGAGATATGAACCGTGGAGGAATACAAAAACTTTTCCCGAAAAGGAATTTGCTGTCACAAAATTGATGGGAAAGCATAAACGAGAAGCCTTAGATAGGGTTTCTAATAAAGGTTAGTTCCCGGTTTCTCTACGGCTCTGAGACACTTGTTAGGGGAGCGCACTTACGGCAGATGAAACAAGCGGCCTTGATTTGTAAAGGTTCTAATTCTAAGCTGAAATAATTTTGGTGGGATTTCGTATCATACTGGCAGGTTCGAGTTTACGAAGAATAATTGACTTTTAAGCAAGAATATTGATTTTCTGGGTAGTGGAAAGGACGTTTCGTTTAAAAAAAAACCTAGCTTGCGGGATGCATTATTCACTATATACTATCGACATGCGCATTCCAGGACAAATTGTTGGTGAAATTAACTCCTAAGTACTCATATGACGCGACACATTCAATTATTTGGTTTAAAAGGAAGTACTGAAAAGGTGATGTTTGATTACGATGTTGAATTTAATACAATAGCACATTTAGTTCATGAAATACTTGTTATCTACAGTTTGTGGTGTTTCAATTACTATAATGTGTCGAACCAATTTGTAAAGGCAGTGTACCTTTTTTATAGAATTGTACGACGTGATAACTCACGCAAAATATATTCGGTGTTGCATCATACGTTTTCTGGGGATATATGTTCGCTGCCGCAACAAAATTCTAAAATACATTACCTGCAGTCAATCTCTAAATTATATTTTTATTCCGCTTAAAAAAGGTCGACATTGGAGTATATACACAAAAAAAATCGCATCACTATCTTGTAATTTTTAATTGTTGGGTCATATGTGTGTAGTCAATAGGCTTTAATAAACTATTAAATGAACAACCAGTTTAAAATGATCAAGCTCAGGGAATTTCAATTTATAGGAAAGGATTTTTAAGACACCGGATCTTGTTACTACTCTTTTGCCAATACGATTTCGGCATTCAATGAAAAAAATACTGAAGGACGAATCCCGTAACATGAAGCGGGGGCAGATTTGGCCGCATCCTGGGAATCTTTGGTTCTCGCAGTGATTATAACCCCCGAATTCATAGATGTGACTTGCTCTGAAGTCGAGCTTCAACTTGCTCAAGTCCGTCTTGCGACGAGCAAGCGCGCTTCATAAACGCGCCTTAACTTGAACCGATCTTGAACGGAGCTTGAAGCGAACTTGAAGTGCCCAAATTTCAAGACTGGGTTGGACCTATCTTGAACGCGGCTTCGTAGTCATCTCAACATGGCGGCTTGCTGGTGTGATGTCGCATATGGGATCGCCGCGTTCGATATTTGCGTCCTGCAATTGCGGTGTTGTCCTCGGTCACGGGTATTTTTCGCCGAGAGAAGCGGCCATTCCTCCGTGATCGAATGCACCCCACCGGGATGTGCGACAACGAACGGCAACGGCGCGGGAGCTGCTCGGCTGCGACTTGACCGCCTGATCCGAACGGCGACAACAGGCGGCTGCCGCTGATACCCAAGCTACAGTTGCTCGTCACGCTGCGACGTTTGCTGGCAGGATGCTTCTAGCTGTCAACATTTCACAACGGACGGCGCGCGGTGCAATCGGGAGAGTGACGCGTCTCACCGTAAGGCATCTGTCGCTCGGACTCGTCCACTTCCCCGGCGCTCCCGAAATTCTCCGCCTCCTTCGAGTAACCGGGTTCACGCACGCGTGTATCAAAAGCCCGGGTCCCGGTGGCGATTATGCAGACATTTATGAGAACTTAAGAGCAGTTGCCTGCATAAACTACCCAGGTAGGTTCTTCCGTTTACCGAAAATAAACAAGCCTCCAGAGCTTCTGGCGCAAAGAACCTGAGCAACCATGTGCGGTGTGCACGCACGTTTACTGATGCAAGCTCTTGACCTAACGTTCTCTGTATGCATACTAGCAGTTGTTAAAACAAAATCGCCGAAAAAAGACAGGGACACAGACAAAGGGAAACAGGACAAGGCGCCTTGTCCTGTTTCCCTTCATTTATTCGGCGCTTTTTGTTTGCAATGAACCAACTGGCCCAAATCTCCACTTTATTGTAGTAGCTATTCCCACTTTTGTGTTGTTTGTGCTGGATTACTTGTTTAAAAAATGACGTGTAGTATGAACTTGCCCCTTGCGTCAGTAAAATAAATATGGAAAATCAGGAATGCCTTCTAGTTTGGTACTGCCATGCATTTCAAGTTCTCTCTGAATGGTCAAATGGCTGCTTAGAACAAGATTGGTCATATATAGCTGCTGAAAACTCACTCTGATTCCCCCCCCCCCCCCCCCCCCCCATGTACAGATTCTACATTTTACAGATGCCACACACTTCACCAATTTTTTGTTCCAACAAGTTTTGACGTGTTTTATTACTGTATTTGTGCACTAGCTGTTCACCACAAAACATACTTCTCGAATTACATCTAACATGAAGTTTGTCGAAGAAGGGCTTTGCTGAAAGAAAGCATACCTTCTTTTCCTAAGACTTCTGCAACATTTCACGAATGGATGTGCCGAAAGCATTGTTTAGCACTGTGCTGAGGAGTGCTTACCAACTCTCCCCGATACAATATCTAATGAAACAATAGCCACCGGTTTAATTTTTTTTTTGCTCCAAAAGATTTATTACTATGCACAGGTTTGCACCAAGCTCGATTCGAGGGCACAACACTTTTGTGTCCACTCCACAATCAAAATATTATTGCCTCGTGAAAGAAAAAATACATCACAATTCTTCCAGTGCAATAAAGGCAAGACAAAATGAGTTGACCTTTTTTATGATCGTTCACTCACACTAAACTTCACACCCATGCACATATTATCTGCATGCAACCTCCATAATGAAGATGTTGGGATGATAATTTGCCAAATTCTTGAAAACATCATATATTGTCTCTCTGACTCGTAACATTTATTAACTCATTCAGGTACAACACCACCCAGATAAAGACTCTCAACACTGCTGAAAGAAAAATACGATCCCCATGCCTCGTTGGGTAGTTGAAATCATCACTCCGTGCGCAGCATCACGTAACCTAGGGAAAACGAGCCATCCTTGCTGCTCTGCCAGTCATACCAGCCAGGGGATAATGTTGAGAAGATCAGTGCAACTGCCATCTGCTGAAAGGGGTAGAAAAACAAGCAAAATGAAGCCAGAGTGGTACTGTATAGATAGGTATGGTGCCTGGAATGCATCTCCGACTGGTGTGTCTACTGTGTCCAAAGAAGTAATCCCTCAATTTCTGCCCGGTGCATCATACAAGTGTCATGATGTCGCCGGTCGCAATCCTGGCGGTGTCCCAGCAGCGGTGGTTGATGTGGCAGACGCCTGTTCTACTGCAGGTCGCTCTACAGTTCGACAGTCCACTGAAGCTTCAGCATCCAGTAGTTGGGACGCCGTGACGACAGCGACACTCGCGTTCGCCTCGTGGTACTCGCAGCTGCTCTTTAACGTTTCAATGGCCAACCGCCAGGATCGCAACATGCAACAGCGTGACACTTCGGCTTCCGTGACGTCATTTGTTGCCACTTTCGGACCACTTTTGATGTACGGGCAGCAAAGGACGCTAAACACACCAGTCGAAGACTTGCTCCAGGCACAATACTCGTCGGGTAGTTGAAATTATCACTCCGTGCACAGCATCACATAACCTAGGGAGAACGAGCCATCCTTGCTGCTCTGCCAGTCGTGCGAGCCAGGGGGCGATGTTGAGAAGATCAGTGCAACTGCCACCTGAAAGGGGTAGAAAAACAAGCAGACTAAAGCCAGAGTGCTACTGTATAGGACCCCCCTTCCTCGTGGCACCAATGAAATGGGGATAATACATATGTTGCACGGAGTGCACATTTTCAAACTTTTGAGCACATAGTGAGCCACAGTTCATTAATCACAATCAGTCATTTTTAAATTTCCTAACTGAAATGCTTTGTCTAACTGATGTTTATGACTAAATTGAAAATAAATATGATATGATTTATGCTTTGCTTGGGCATAATGACCTAAACCTGAAGCAGTGGAAATAAGATAAAGATGAAGCTGGAGTATGCAAAGCGACCATCCATTTCGTGTGTACACCTCCCTCCATCCTCGTCTTGTTTGCATTTTCGTGATCTTCTAAATCATTAAGGGATCATGCTTTTTTTTTATTATTTTACAAGTTATTTTCTCTTTGATTCTTGCATTTCTAAGTGGCATGTCTTGTGAATGCTGTGCCTTGCGTGTTTCTTTCCCCAATGAAAATACCCGTTCTCTTTTCTTGATTGTCTTTAGAACTAATGTGAACCCTGTGCTAAAACTATGGTGGAACGTATTGCTTCCTCTGTTTCTGTTTCATTACTCGCTGCACCCTCAGAAATGCATGAGCCTCAATACTGCTCTCCCACTTCCGAAATAAAAGAATTTGAATGGCTGCAACTTGTGCATTAGCCTCCTTGTTTGTCTTGTAATCATGAAACACTGCCGACATAAAACCTGCAAATATTGAATGGCTCAAGCTTTCGACAAACAAACATACAGACCAAAGCTGCTTATTTAGATACATATCCCAACATGCGGCACTGACGGGCAAACACAAAATAATTTTCTGGAGGTGGCGCTGTGTATCTAGAGGCCCTGAAAGACTCCAAGTTTTGTTTACAGAGAGCTGAGATGCTAAATTATAAAACAAAAATCATTCTCACCAACCTCGTATAGCCTACAGCAAATGCTGCACATACATTTGGCAGTTGAGGAAAATGGAAGGAGCGCAAGCTTGTGCTTATATCTAGGAAACAACTGTGCCGGTGAACAAATTATCTCCCAGTGGTCCACATTGAGTGCATTTCAGTCGTCAGTTTAAAATTGTGCACAAATACCGTAGAAAGGAACAGAGGAGAGAGAAGAGACAAGCACAGCCTGCAGAAACAGCTCAAGCCGAGGTCACACCGGCCTCGGCTCGAGCTGTTACTGCAGGCTGTTCTTTTTTCTTCCGGCCTCGGCTCGAGCTGTTACTAAAGGCTGTTCTTTTTTCTTCCTTCAATACATCGAATTGTGAGTTTGTGCTTGTCTCTTCTCTCTCCTCTGTTCCTTTCTATTTGTGCACAAATTTAACCATGTTCAATCATTACCAACTCACCCAACCAACCACCTTAATTCAGTCATCAGGTTTTCAAGTTTATGCAAATTTTCATAGTCACTAAACAGCCTTCCCAGGGTGCTTATATATTTCCAAGTTTAGACGTTGTGCGAGTCGTCAGCTTGTGAATGCAAACTAGTGCGTCACAAGCTTCATAGATGTGTGGTGCAGAAGAAAAACAATGTGACGAGGACACGAGAGGAGGGCCATGGTCGTAACAAAAACGGCTCGGGTCATAAATGACTTCCTATTAACAATTGCAATGGTGCGAGCATTTACTGCCGTAGATAAAGATGTTCGAGCAGCCAAATAAACACGGCACTGAAGAGTACAGTAACGAACTGATGGTTGTCGCTGAACTCGACAAACGATCAGGGTGCCACAGTTGTCTTGAAACAGTCTGGCATACGTTTTTATGAACAGGTAGAATGTCTAGCCATACTGAAACATGCCATACCGATCTCTGGAACAGTTCGTCGCATGCAGACTTGGGCAGCCACAACTTTTCAATCAGTGAAGCAACTGCAGCTCTGAGACATGGTTGCACAGGTGGAAGAGCGATGAGCGGCCTTCCACATTCAGACGACAGTAGGCCATAAAAGCAAATTTCTGCAGTCACGTCAGCGGGAAGAGATGCTTTCTGCTGTTAGTCCACTCGCTTGCAGCATTGCTAACACTGATGTGGTGCTCCCAGGCATCATGGTCATTCATTTATGAGAAGACAATGGGTACCGACCTGTAATGCTCAATAGACATTTAACAGGAAGTCGCCCAAGCCCTAAAGTGCCCTTTTACGACACCAAATACATGCAGCTGCATTCAACAGCTTGAGCGCTTTACTCGTGTCCTCGTTACTTCGTCTTCCTCCTGCTCAACAGAGGGTTCCCCTTCCTACCAGTGCACCGTTGGCTGCAGCAGCACACTTACTCACTGTAGATGGGGGGCACATCACTGTGGACAGGGGGCACAACATGACAATGCTCGTTTACTTGCCTGGAAATTATGTCCAGCCCAGACCGCATTTACTGGCTGACAAAGCAGTCCCCTTCCTAAAAAAAAGAAAAGTTTATGTAAGGCACTTATAAGAAATATACAAGATGTAACCACAAAGCTAATATTTCCTAAGGTGCTACTCCTGCTCCTGGACATTATCTTTAGGAAGGAGACTTCTGAAAATCATATAAAATGGTTTGACTTCAATCCATGACTGTCACAAATGAGAGAGTGGCAGCGTCGAGACTATTTACTGCCGAAACGATCAAATAGAAATTAGAAAAATTACAGTTTCAAAGAGAGCTATCTTGATTATAAAAGGTGAACAACCCTGCCTTTGCGCACCAAACATCAGTGACAGTTCCACCGCCTCATGAACAACATGTTCCGGGCCTGAGTTTTTGCCCGCGAAAGGCCGACGAGGTAAACATAGCTGCGAAAACTATGATGCCCGGTAGCTACTTCCTGGTTTCGATCACCGAAAGCACAGGCACCGCGCCCAACGCTTTATGTAGTGGCGCCCATTAAAACAAGCCTTTGTAGAAACATGTAAGCAACACAAAATAACGTTTAAAACAGCCGAAAGAGCGCTTAGGCCAGGCCGCATTGTTTCCAGTTTACATATCCGAGTACTACGCCGCATAGTTTGCATTAAGGAAATGTTGTAAAAACACTTACCTGCTTTGAGCACCGCTTCAATTCGTAGTCATTTTCCTTCCGCATCGGGAGTTACAAGCGCTTTTTCGTTACTAGAGTCCCGTAGGAAGATCCTATGAGGATTTTAAACTTTCTCGTTGAGGCGTGTGGACACGGCACCGGAGTCGGCCACTCACTCGAATACCTTTTCATTCTTGTTGAACCCAGATAAGCATTCGTTTCTCGTCTTCAGTGAATCCTAGTTCAAGCTTCTCCCGAGTTTTCACAATGAAGGAGACGTCGAAACTCACATGACGCCAAATATGTCCACAAGCGAGGGACGCCAACGAGCGAAACGAAAAGAAAAAGGCCAGGAGCCATCGCTCAAATTGAGCCAACGTTGCTAGACGGAAAAGCGCATTTGTCTAGAAAACGCGTACAAGGTTAGTTTCGAAACCTGCGAAACAGCATCTTTCACGATTTGCGTTTCGTAAAGACATGCTATGAAGAAAATTTTAAGAAGCAACTTCTTTTTGACGTGTGAAACTCTTTTTAAAAGAAAAATTGCAACCTAATCTCGCTCCCAGGCGGGGAGCAGCGCGAGCGCTCGCGACTTGAACGGGACTTGACGAAGGAAGTTCGCGGGAGCGTCTATGAAACGTAAAAGCCAGCTTGAGCGTTTTCAAGTCGAACTTGGTGTTGAGGCGGACTTGAGCAAGTCGAAGTTCGGCTTCAGTTGAAGTCACATCTATGAATTCGGGGGTAAGTGGTCCCAGCCAAATGCAAGCTTGTTCGCATACTCCGTGTGACTTTAAATACATGAGGGGTTGATGTTGTAGTTGACTGGAGCTGATTGAGGATTCAAGGGAGTATGAATGGAGAAAACACCGTGACGGCGCGTTTTGGGCTCTTTGAATTATTTTATCGCCATGAAGAAACATGAACGGTCGGAGTTAAGGTGTAGCGCTTGCAGCTTCTTGTTAATTTAGGCAAAATTTTTTTTATAAATATGAACGTCTCCCAGCAAAGACTTCCACAGTGGCTCCTCCCAACTTAGGCGTTTCTATCTTCAAGCAGGTTCTATTGCTGTTTTCGTTGATTATTTTTTCGTCGTACTTTCTAGTTTCATGCACCTGGGCTACTAATAATTGTTTAGTTGATTCTGTTCAGAAATTTATATTTTGAGACTCTATATAGAAAAAATATAAAGGTGGCCTAGTAGGATATGCATTTTATAAATAAAAAGCTCGAAAATCAAGTACACTTTGTACTTTACCTTCGCGCTTTCTAAATAAATATACCCTTGACTACACGTACCGCGTGCCAGCAAGCATCGTACCGCGTTCCACGCGGCGTGTGCTTCAAGAACACCTCTGATTGGATACATTTTGTTTTGGTGCTTTACTAAGATATAGGAAAAGCCAGAAAAAAAAAAGGCGGAGTGTTGTAGTTGTTAGGATACCGAACCCGACATTGGGATACCCGGAGTTCAAAACCCGGCTCCGCCGAAGATTTTGTCTTTTGGCCGCTTCGTAAACCATTTCATTCGTTCAAGTGCGACTCTTTCATCTGTGTATTTTCGACACATTGGTACAATTACACAATTAGAAAACAACAACAAGAGCGGTATGAACATTTAGAGTTCAAACATAAAAAAATAAAATCTCAAATCATTGACATAAAATGTTTGAAAGTAAATATCGTAAAGTAGGACACAAGGAAACTGAAAGATAAAAAAAAAACACGGAACGGCAAATGGTGAGTAAAATATATGTATACAATCAATTCAGCCACTTCTGAACGTTGACATCTCCTACCCTGGGGTTTTGTCAAGTTCTGCTTGTTAGTTTTTTTATCAGCTACCATCTTTCTTGTAGAAATGCAATAAATCTTTCATGTATTTATTTATTCATTAATTAATACAAGGCAAAAAGCTGGAGCATTTATCTATTTATTTTTATGTATTTCATTTCTGCTATGTCTATACTTAGCTTTTATAACACAAACAGACAAACACAAACAAAGTCGCAAATTTTGCCGCAGATGCTTTGAGAGGGCTGGTAAGTTTCTCAAGAGCACTAGCTTTTAAAGTGTAAACTTTGCACAACAAAGATGTTTGCATCAACGCAGATGGAGAGAAAGTAGCTGACCTCAAGCTCCTGTACACGAATTTCGACACCTGCGCCATCTATTTCCACGAAGAACAACAAGGTAAGAAAAACACTGAGGTGTTAGTCTTAGGCTGTTACTCCAATCGAGATTTCGCTCTTCATGCAACTAAGAAATCCAAGGTCAGAAATTCACATCATATCATGGACCTATGATGTAATTCGTGCACACACCGTGCCATGAGACATGAGTTCGAGGGTAGCAACGGCGAGACAAAATTGCGGTACTGTGTTCCTTAACAGAGAATAAAACAAGTCACTGCTGTTTAACTGCGTTAAATTTAGTGTTATATATTTATATTAGCTGACGACTCTAGGTTTTTGTTTTATATGGACAACACGTTTTATGTCATGGTAATATGCTACTAAACTTTAGTATGCATATCACAATCTAGGGCTTTTTCCTCGCATTTAATTTGTGCACAGCCGTGATAGCTCTATTTGTGAAGAAATAAAGCCATATCAAGTCTTCTTCAGACGCAAATATTGACTGACCCAGATAACAGAATAATACATGTTGGTACTGTGCCTATCTTCCCAACATAGGTATAACACAACCCCTGACACCTTGAAAATAATATCTCAACTTCCTATGTGTTTTTCAACACCAATCTTTAATTAAACAAATGAGCGCTGGGTGGTCGATAAATAAACATGTTTCTGCAGGCTGGCAGAATATTTTGTTCAAGCAGAGTAAAAGAAAATTAAATAAAACAACCTGCTCATACTATTTATTGCAGGAACTGCAGTCTTGACAGCTATAAATTAAAAATATTTAGACTTGAATAATATGCTACTCTTTACAAACCCTATGGAAATAGACCAGACAAACTGGGGCGTGACTTTTGTAAAAATAAAGAGCGATACGATACAGTAAGCTATATATCTATCATTTTAGAACGCGAGATGTAAAGAGAAGATGTAGCATGACTGAACGATTTTTATTAAAGTTGTTCAGTCATGAGCTCAGCCTATCTAGAAATTATATTATTAATTTAAATATAGTTTATGTAAAAGAAACAACACTGTAAATTTAGTAACATTACCAAGCAGAGCCTAAACATTGTTAAAGACAGTTTCGAGTTTTCTAGTTAAGTAAGTAGGCAAACTGATCGTGCGGAAGAAACCCTTGCCATGTTATACTACAAGTACTATAAAGTGTGTGTTTTACCGAATTTTCTGTGGACTCGAAAGCAATAAAGATTATGATCATGTTACAGAAATAACTATTATTTAAATAAAAAAAAGAAATGACAAATGCCTCGTAGAAGGGACGTAGACATGTCTTTTTTTTTTCAAACGCAGTGCTTAATATAATGAAACTATATATGTGAGATAAATTTTATTAAATATTTGAGAGCAGAGAAATATCTTTTCATATAAAGAATAAAACATATTTTAAATGACGCAGAATTTTGTAGTTCTAGCATTCTACTAATATTTAAAGTGTAGGTTCCTTCTATATAAACTAGATTTAACTTAACAATAAAGTTTAAATAGGTCTCGAGACACGCTTTAATTTCATTTATTTTATATGCCCTAAGTAATCGTACATCGAATGCTAGATCGACTAAAACATAACCAAACATGACCTGTTATTGTAAAAGGTGGAAGATTATAGAATTTTTATTTTTTTTAAATAAAAATACACCTATAGATAAATTTAACCATTGTATACAAAGTTTTAAAACAGTAATAGCGTTATCATCGTTGTAACAATATATATATATATATATATATATATATATAAGCGCTACAAGACTTTAAAACCTGTCAATCGTGAAAGCTGCGCATATCAAAAAATCTCAAAATTGACCGATCTCACCAGCCAGTTTGAATACACCACCGCTGCCACAGTGCACTGGAGGAACTTTAGTCTTTCTGCACGTGCGAAAACCCCGCTGAAGCTCTACGCGTGTGAAGCACGAGACGGCACGAGCTCTCGCATGCACGGCCATCTGCCTCCTATGAACTAAAGTTCTGGCGGCGTCACGCATGCGCCGAACGCTTAGTGAGATCGGTCAATGTAAAATCCCAAAACAATCATTTTTAGAGGCATTACACAATCTTATTTCCATATTCCTTGCCATTAATGTACAAACTGCCATCAAAACTTTAGAGTTGCATTCTGGACGTCCTTAAGTATATAAATGCCAAATTTGGCTGAGAGAACAATATCCAATCACAAAACTAATTGAGCATCAACTGTGAAGATGCCCCCCCCCCAAAAAAAAAAAGAAAAGAAAAAAAAGATTAAGCTCGATTAATTTAAAAGCTCTGTTAAATTATTCAATCCAAACAAGTGTCGCTACACTTCTAAGTGTGGCGACAACTCGTTTGCGTTGTGGAAATGTTTATTATTTAATATTTTACGAGAAATAGAAGCCGACGAAGAATAGAGTGGAGAAAAGACAAGTCCTACGTCTCAAAATAAATTTGTTGGTGGGTGACGCCACAACTGGAAGAATCGCACACATGAAAATGACTGAAATGTATGCTTTGTTATCGACAAAGTAATTGAATTGCATGTTTCAATCATTTCACAATAACACTCAGTCAGGAGTTTTTTTTTATAACAAAAGATAATGGTTCATAGATAACTCACACCCTAAGGTCACAGATCACATTAAAGAATTGTGAATTTTTTGCGTTGTTTAATTGTGATAAAGCTATTAATTGCATCAGTTTTAATAACAGTATTAACAAAAAGTCTATCCATACCAAATGCACAATAGGATTTATTCGGTATAACATTTAGTGTATGAACTTTTCAGCCTGCCAATTATGGGTTTATAATGACGCGACGAATGATGATCTCCAGAGTTGCCTTCATCCTTACCACGAGTTATGCGAAGGACAAAACTACGAGGTCTACAAATCCACCTGCCTGACATGAGGAGTTTCGACTAAAAGAAAATAACGACTTTCAAATCAAGATTTTTTAGATTGTGTTATTCTAATTATTAGACAATTAGTTCCTACTATTATAGAAATTACCGCGTATGTATAACAAATTGCCCAGAACGTCAGACCTATTGTAATATCACTCTTTTGATAATCAATAAACT